GTTTTCTTGGTTGGCGGTTGCTAGGTCATAAAATCCGATGGCCGTTTCCTGACAATCTGACATCTGTAATTTTAGGCTAGGCTGCTTAGTCCGCTGCTAAATGTTTGTATCTGTGTTATAGGTTTTGAACTGACAATGGAGCTTGACTCCAAAACATTTTCTCATATATTTAAGAATAAGAAATGGTGAACTTTTTGGCTATTTTCTTTACTTTTAAATTCCTGTTGTTTAAAAAATGATAGCGCAAGCGCTGCCACCGCAAGGTGTACGTACGACATATGTTCTGAAAATGAATTTTGTAGATTTATACCATATCTTTTCCTTGCACATGGCAAATTAAATGTATTTGTTATTTATGCATAGTGGCAAAGCAGAGAGTTTTTTAGACTCTTCCTCAAGTTCATTTTTTGAGTCCTATAAGTAGAACAGTAAAGTATCTTGGATACCAGAATTATCATACATAAGTAATCTTTCAAAATCTCAAGTAAATGAGGAAATTAAAAATGAACTGATTCTAAAAAATCACTGGTTTGCCACTATGCATTTATGTGGTGAGACCGTGAGCCGAGCCTGCGAGCATAGTGACAAACCAGAGAATTTATAGAATCAGTTCATTATTAATTCCCTCATTTACTCATGATTTAAACCAATTTCTTATGTATGATATGTCTGGTATCCATGATACTTTACTGGTCTAGTTACAGGACTCAAACATGAACTTTGAGGGAGAGTCTAAAAAAAGTCTCTGCTTTGCCACTATGCCTGCGAGCGGCAGCAAGCCAAGGCGGCAGCATCCTGGTGGGTCGGATTTATGTGAGACTGAGAGTACAGTGAGACTGCAAGCTAAAATAATGCGTAGAACACTCGTTAATTATTTCCATTTCATCTTTGAGTCCTGGGTTGCATTTTTAAAATACTGTTTGACGATATATTTATATCTAGCTATATAGTTCTCATTAAGCTGACTGACTAAAGTTGGCAACTGCTCACAAAAAATAATAACCAATTGTAGGCTACTTGTGTGAGCCAAGTAAAGTAAACATTGTTTTGTTCAATCCAATCAGAATAATTTTTGGTAAGACATTTGAGGAAAAATGCTTAAATGCATGACTAAGAAAAAAACTTCTTATAAATTATAATAGCAATAAATTGACATTTTTCAATTAAGAGGAGAGGTCTCATTTATTAGGGTAGTAGATCTTTATAGTACGGTCTACACACTTGTATATGTATAAATAAAATTTTATATAATAAATATAATATATTATTCTTTTATTTATCTATATTATATATAGGCTATATATATATATATGCATAATCTATCATTCTATTTCTATACATTATATAATTAAATAATTTTGCATAAAAAATGCAAATGGGATTGTATAATTTTAGTGAATGATCATAAAACTCTATACCTAAAGATAAACATATGCTTGCAAGATAGGAATAGGATAAGATAAACAGATTTAAAGATAAACATATGCATGAAATTTATAACACAAATGGAATACAAAACTGGCAAGGATTATATCTACTTGTTAACTATTACAGGTATGGATGCCCAGGGTCAGGCATGGAATATATCTACTTACTTGGCAAGCCACAACTGGATTTTTCAAGCCGTGGCTTCATGGGTTTGCCAGCTGTAATTCCATTTCTTCAAGCCGTGAATTCCATATCTTGGCCGTGAAAAGCCATTTACAAGTCACGAACTTGTTATTACAAAGTCTCTTGCACATGTCTAATTTTACCCTAAAATCAGTCCCTAGTATTTGTCTTCACTTGAGCGGCAACTGAACAAGTGATAATGCAGTCTGACCAGAAACATTTGATTATCTACTTACTTGGCAAGCCACAACTGGATTTTTCAAGCCGTGGCTTCATGGGTTTGCCAGCCGTAATTCCATTTCTTCAAGCCGTTAATTCCATATCTTGGCTGTGAAAAGCCATTTACGAGTCACGAACTTGTTATTACAAAGTCTCTTGCACATGTCTAATTTTACTCTAAAAACAGTCCCTAGCATTTGTCTTCACTTGAGCGGCAACTGAACAAGTGATAATGCAGTCTGACCAGAAACATTTGAGTTGAATTGTTATTATGTTTTGCATGCTATTTTGGCAGGAGCCTGAGGAGGTGGGAGCATTGAAGTATATATACTGTGGTTTGCAGAAGTTGAAAATTTTATGAAACGACATGTTTGCCATGTGCAAAACGTAATTTTTTCGATCAAACAAAAATTTATGACAGCTGCTAGATTTCATTCCCACTGAAATTATTTGATATTAGAGCCACAATATTTTGGAAAAAATAGGACCTTTCCAGCCCTGCCCTGGGTGCAGAAAGTAGGTGAATATCAAAAGATCTTTGGCATTTTGGCAATGCATCAGCAGCTAAATTTATGCCTGCAGAAGGTCTTGCTGACAAATTTGGATTGAAATTATTGCATTTCATAAATTACTTTGAAATTATTGCAATTATTGCAAATCTGAAAGACAGCAAGCGCACGCAGTAAGGTTTCTGGTATGTTGGATTGATCAGGATGCAGTGAAGCTTGTCCAGAAATCAGTTGAGATGAGCATAAGTGTTTCAGTGCGTGAAGAGTAAGGGATATACTATCAAAGTTGTTAGTAGCATTTTCTTACTAAAAATGACCTGGCAACACATCTTGAAAAATGAAAATGGCTGGCGATGCTTTGCGCTAAAAATCAATATCTTGGCAACGCTGCTTGCACCCTGGATGGCTGCCATTAGCGTGATCAGAGCTTTCCCATCATTTGGCAAAAGTACCCAATTGAGCTGCAAGATTGAATATTATTTCCAATATATTACTTAAGAGCTGCAAATTTTAGTCAAATCACTCAAATGTACAAATTTCCATATCTGGAGTTGATTGATTTGATGCCGGGTTGAAGGTGAAGAAGAAGTCATGCCCCAATCTCTTATAACACCTGGACTTGTTTTAATTTTTTAATTCTTGTCTGATTTTTAATTCTGATGCACTGATTTTTTAATTGTTGTCTTCATCTTCTCATTTTCAGTTTCTTTTTTTTTCTATGTTTGTGTATGCTCTCTGCGTTGTCATCCATATCTTGAGTTAAAGAATAAGTGGAGGCTTACCAGCAGGCATGAAATATATTAATATTCTAAAATGCAACTGCTGTCAATGACCCATAGATTGTCAATTTTGAAAACCACTTGAATTATTAATATCAAAGTACAAAAAAGCTAACAATTGTATAACTGAAAGAATTTTGAATAGCTGACTTCTTTTTCAACTTCTGAAAAACACAAATGGAAGTCTGTATAGTATTTTAATGTTTGTTTTTTTGTTTGTGGCTAGTTAATTGCAGTGGCAGTGCCATTAAAACCTCTGGTCATTTAATTAAATTTTTTGGCAATTATTAAGAGTTATCACAATTTTGTACATAAATCTCAAGTTGAATATCAATCATTGATATTCAACTTGCATATAATATCAATGCAAGACAATATTCATTATATTGTGTCTGACTGGGCCTACAGGAAGATTGATATTGGACTTTGTGAGGTAGTTGTAAGAGTGTAATTCTCATGAGAGTCAGCATTGGAGCTAAATAAATCAGTATCAATGATTGTAACTGCAAATAATATTTTGACTCCAGAGTTACATTTGCATGAAATGAAGAGAATTGAGGCTGGAAATGATCCTGATGTTCTTCTTAAGCAGCTTGATGAATTCTTATATGTTGCTTCCACAGCATTGGCTGGTAAGTGATTATTAATCATTTACTGAAAATGATCATATTTTTACACACTCTTGAATCAGGTGTGACTCTGGTTGAATGTATATAGATAATTGCATCTTGAAAACCTGAGTTGCTGTAACTTCTTCATAAATCTCAAGTTTATAAAAATATGCATAATGAACACCTTTCCTATTATTGCACTGCCATCAAAGTATAATCAATGCAATGGGCTGCTGTTAATTTCATGGTACCACATAAATAGGTTGGGTGGTTTACTGCAGGTTTTGGCTGTTGGCCTGTTGATATTTGTTTTCAATTAACAGCTAGGTATATAGGTAGGTAGTCTCTAAAGTACCTATGCCTTAGCCACTAGAGGTCAATAAGGACTCCTGCAATTTTTCATTAAAAATTAATATTTTAACAGTTGCTGTAGAACATTCAGACTCAAATTCAGGCCACTGACTTTCATTACCATATGGATGCATTTTAAGGTCCAGACTCAATGCTGATAACTTTTTTGTAGAGCAAGATAGCAAATGGGAAGCTTTAAATGCATTAATACCTCAATGCTAGTGCCAAAGTTTACAAGCAGGACTATCCTTTCATCACTGCTTTGCAATAAAGCAATATTACTTGATTATATATATTTTTATTATAATAAAGAATTGTCATCATTTAAGATGCTGTAGATGTACAAATACAAGATTATCATTTTTTTAAAAGGTGTGAAGTTTAGGTCATTGAGCTCAAGTGTTTTATTTATGGTCAATTATGTTGTTGATTAAATTAAAATGTGAATAAACAATTTCATGCAATTTTAACAAATTATATATTTTCCCTAACTTCAGGATCAAATCCATCACCCAATTTAACTGGAGAGGAGCTAAACACTGCATTAAGTGCCCTTCAACTTCTGCATACTCTTCCTGCTGCCCGCCCAGCAGTCCTCTCATTTTTGGGTCACCTTCTTGGAAAACAGGTGAACATTATTGCTTATAAATATTCTTTCATGCCTTACCAGCTTAAACTGAATGATATCAAATTATTGTGGATTTTTGAGTGAAATCTTTTTGCTATTTCATTGTTTAATAAGTCATGCATGAAATGCATTGTAAGTGTAAATTACCTAATTAGATTCCAAATTATTTTCTTATACACTTTTCTGCAAATTTGATTACCTAGCTAATTTAAAAGCCTTTCAAAATTTGCCTAAAAATTTTAAATATTCAATGTTATTAGTTCCAAGCAAATTTACTACAATCACAACAAAATTGCTGCAAAGATTGATATTGGAGTGTGTTTTAATTAGTCTAAACTTAATTGCTGAAGACATTGACCTCTTCTTCATTCTGCCACTAGGCCTGTGATTATTTTTTAAATGTTTGTATGATAGATTGGAAATGATTGATCAAATTGAAAAGTTTCTCCTAAGATACATAGCTAATAACTTCATATTATGCCCAAACTGATCAATAAACTGAAAAAATTATGTTTTTTAATTTTGTTGATTACCAATTTCCATTTCTATTGTCTAAATTATGAGTTCTACTTCTAATTCCAGTGGTTGATTTCCCTTGGCAATTTTTGTGATGCTTTCATTGATCAATTCCAGTTTTCATCTGTAATTTTGTTACAGGCACTTCACAAACGAGGTATACCACGGTCAGGACCTTCATCATCAAGCAATGGCAAAGAAAATGGATTATCTTCCTCAGGCACCCATGCTGAGCTGGTGCTGGAGGTTGAAATTGTACTACGAGGCTTGGTTGAGTCTGAACAGATGGTGAATGAGGAGGGCGGTGGTCTGTGGTGTGAACTCATCTGTGGATGGGGTGTAGAGCTGCTGTCTTTATGGGCTGTGGAGTATGGCAGAGTGAATTTAATAATTGAGGAAGTTGTTGGTATGTGGATGAGTTGCAGTGTCGTTCGCACTGTTGTGGATCTCGTGACTTTGTGTGTGTCCAGAGAGCCACAAGGAACTGTTGCACATGTGCTCAATACTGCAATAGTCCATGCACCTGTTTTGGACTGGCTCGTAGCCCATATTGGAGCTACTCACCCTGCCCCTGTGCTCTCATATTTGCTTGACCCAGCAGTGCAGGTCTCGCTGGACTCGGAACCGTTAGACAGAACCACGGCCATTCTTACTCATCTCGCACTCCAGCACAGTAGTGCTGTTGGGCAAGCGCTTACAGCCTTGCTCGAGAAAACAGTGCAGGGTCAGTGTTGGCCCGGGGCTGGTCCCCAACTCTTGTTGCTACTCACTAGATCTGGCCCCTTACTCGACACTCTGACGTCTGCCTTGCCTTCTTTGTTGGCTCCCAATACCCTGAATAAACTGGCTAGCCAAGTAGCTACATGGGTTCCAACGTTCTTTCGCTCTTGGTCAGATCTGAAGCAAATATGTGTTCAGTTACTCCTGGACTGTGCAGGACCATCAATGCTGCTCACGTTGTTGTACGGCTTAGTTCCAGCTCACAATGAGCCCAAGGACAACCTGCCGAGAGTAAATTTATTGCCTGTTGTCAAGACAAGCCTTGCAACGCTGCTTCACAGTCTGCTAGGCGAACTCTGTAAGTTGGCGTACACTCGACGCGGCAACAACAAACCTCGTGTAGCGCTCCTGGTTTCCTTGGCACAACCAACTTCGGGTGCGGCGCTACCATTGACTAATGTCTTGCAATGGGCATTGCAGTGTGGCACACCGGTGGTTATAAGGTCTGTTACTCAGCTCGTTGTTATGAGCTGCAGTCAGCAACATCAACCCAGCGAGGGGGCATTGTGGCCTTATCTGCTTCTAACTTTCCCTCCTAGTCCCGAGTTACTACACATCGTGGCGCGTTTGACTCTGGCACTCATCAGGGAACCTCAGGCTGGAAGTAACCCACTTGAACGACCACTTTCAATCGTTCTGTCCAAGTCTGGTCCCAGTTTATTGAATGCATTGGCTAATGTGCATCTTTTATCATCGGGTCACACCCTCAAGAGTCCTCTGAGCGATGCGGTCATGTCACTACTTCCTCAACTCGCTCAGTTCATTAACCTTCCTGAGATCGGCGATTCCGTTGTAAAGCTGCTGTCAAAAATAACTCTAAGTCAACCCATCTCATTAAGAAACACCTCTTGTTTGGCCAATGCAATAACATGTTATTTAATGGCTACATTAGATATGCAAGACGTAACTCGGAAAGTTGCATGCGCTGGACATTGCGGGCGTTTGTTGAGCCAGCTGTCGAGCAGTTCTTGCGGTCATGGCCTTATTACTCGTCTTATTGTTGAGGCGGTTTTCAGGCCTGAGTGGGCTCATATTTTCGGCGCATCTACTTATGTCGGATCATCTCATTGCACGAAGAAGACGAAAGTATCAGAGCCAAAACGACTGTTACAGGCTAACTACACCTTTGACTCCTGGGTGAAAATTCCTTTGTCGCACACTACTGTTTTTCATGCTGGCACCATCAACGGTAACCACACCGATTCTAAAGTAGACTCTAAAATTTTGTCTCAGGAAGCTGTCACTCTCAACTGCCAGCTTTTGCTGAACATTCTCTGCAGCGCTTCCAAGCACCACGACCACGCTCCACTTACTGTAGCGTTGCTTCTTGTGGAAATAATCTCCCCTGATATCATGTACAATGGCTTTCCTTGGCCCGATGAGAATATAAAATTCACAATTGAGCGTGATCTCACAATAAAGAAAACTTTTGAAGACTTTCCAATTGCGTGGGAGCTCTTGGAATTTGTGGCGAGTAATCGGCCAGCTCTTTGTTATTGCTCTGTGTTGGTCCGAGCGTTGACGGCGTCATACATCGCCTTGTGGTCTACGTCAGCTTTGTCCAGAAGCACGGAGTCGCCCAAGCAACTACGGGCCACGGAACGCTTGTTAGAAATTGCTGTCATTGGCCAGTTCCTGCCGAAAAATATGCACGTTCTGCCGCAAATGATTCGCCATCTGGCGCCCCATGAAGTTGTCGCTGTGTTGCAAGACGTTTGGAACTACATGCGCGACAATACACCTTCGCCAGATCGCTGGACTTTGCTTCCTAATCGTCAACACGATCGAAGTAACCATCACTCCGATCCAAGAGCATTTGATACCTGCAGGCGGCTCGTTCACTTCCACGTGGAAACGCTTGGCCACCTTCTCCCTTCAATGTTGCAACAACGGCCCGCAGCATCGTGACAAGAACATACGGTTCATGAGCCGGGCGACGGCATTGTTTGAAGCTAGCATGGGCACTATTCCGGACGAGAACATGCTTAGGTTGCGCTTTTATCAATGTTCGATTTTGATAGGTTAGCAATCTTACAGCTTCCTAACTGTAGCTTATGTTGCGCACGTAGAATTTGTAGCTTTTCTACATAGTCTAAGAATATTTGCTTTTATTGAAATGGTAGGAATTTGTCGATAAGATTTGCCTCTATATAACTGTGAATAATTTAGATATTAGTTCACCATAATTCACTCTAACATTGTGTGATCGGAAAATTAATCATACCAATTCTCAACTCAGCAACATCAGCTGAAAGCAACATTCATTAATTCTTCCATAAAAAGATGGGGTCTTAAATCTTGTTTCCTTATCATTTCGATGATTTCCGGCCAAGTTCACAAGGCAGCCTGCAAACATACTGGAACTCCGGGAATGCGCGCCTTCGATACCGATGTAACATAACAAATGTGTAACTTTCGCACACTAATTCGGCTCATCACTTCACACGTTCAGATCGCGAAATACCAAGGTATTGCCATTCGAACAGGTGAGAATAATGAATTTAGAAACATTGAGGAACAGGTGAGAATAATGAAGCCATTTCACCACCATAAGCAGTTTGTGATACCCCTCTTATCAAAATTGTTCAAGGATCATGCACATTTAATAATATTTGAGAATGTGAAGAAAAATCTTTATATGATGCTATTTTATTCAATATCGAATTGGGCACAGAAAATAAACCTTAGCACGTATGTAGAATGTCGCATAAAGTGCTGATTGGTATCAGACGTAATACGTTGTGATTAAGACCTAATTTCAAAGTAGAGAATAATCACGGCATGACCTGAAGGGCAACAAGTCATTGAGGGACCACTGAGCAGTCAGGAGAGCTACAATAAATATCACAGTTGAGAGTATCGCCTCTGAAAAGCCGAACCTGCTTATTATACGTGAAAATAAACTTCGGTAGAAAATAATTAAGTTCAAAAGAACAAAAAGAACTACTATCGGAGGACTTGGAAGCTATATACCTCCTGACGGACAGAAAGCATTCATCAAAAGGGATTAACATTTACTGTAACTTTCCTCTGCACACTATTTACACGCTGCACATTAAAAACTTAGAAAGGCATTCACGAAAATAATCCTTATTGCAACCTCAAGAGGTAACGATGAATGAAAATGGGATCTCCGGATAAAGGGCAAACCTGCTTTCAGGAAGATACATTAGTTCCGCAGCAAATATCCTTTACATTGCAGCACAGTATTTTAACAATCAGAGGTCACAAGAGAAGTAGGAATGCTCTACTCCGCCGTACCAAGACCTAATTGCCGATTTCACTCTTCATCGAATAACTTAAATTGAGATTTTAGTCTATAAAACTTGACGAAAAAATTATTGGGTCATAATTGTCTCAGGTTTCAGAAACTCCACCATTCATCAAGTTGCTTAAAGGTTTAATATTTGTGTCATGCCTCTAACACAGAGAACATAGATAAAATTATTAGTTACACTCCTGGTATGTCAGGATATACGCGACTCACGTCTTTTATAGAACACGTGATAAAATAATAGAAAGTACGCATGTAGACTCAAAATATGGAAGCTACAGTGGATTGAGCCAACAAATTGATTCGATTATGTTATAGAAAACTAATGAAAAACTAGTCAAGAAGCTAATTAGTACATGAAAATTACGGGATCTGAATAAACCAGCATTGATTAAAACGCTCTAAAATTAGCTGACAACCGGGTACACAGTCGGTAGATGAATCATTAAATGAATTGACAAAAATAACTGCGGTTAAAACATCACCTTGCGACAGCCGCAAGGTATTGGCGAGTCAACGTATTGAGTTCTTGCAGTGTGCAGTCTTTGCTGAGAGGTAGCGAGGCAATTTGTTTAGCCACAGCAGTGGTGGCAGCCAAGTCATCGCCGAGAACAGCTCTCAGCACTCCGATTACGACGCGGCTAACTTCGGACACACAGAGTCTGTGCTTGGATGTTGGTGTTTGGAGGCTATTGAGCTGTGAGCAGAGCGCTAGTAGTCGCGGTCTCAATGCCTCGACTTTGTCTTTTGAAGGCTGCTGGGATGATTTGATCTCTTCCACGCATTCCAAAACGTGAAGGTAATGAGCGTAAACTGCGCCCCCGATCTTCCAGTCGGACACGTTCACATCTAAGCTGTCAGAGCTTGCCTCGAATGCCATGATGAAGCGACGGAGATACTGGTGGTCCTCTGCCGAATATTACGAATCAAGATTACAAACAATGGAATATCAAGTAGAGTGAACGGGCAGCAATTATGTATTAAATATTAAATTTAAATTAATTTCAAGACAGAAGTATGTTATACAAACTGAAAACATTTTCAAGACAGAGAAGTAGTGTTGATGATTCTGTAATTAATTTAACATACTCGACCATGACATGAAAAACTGGCCCTAACGAAAGAATTTACATGATAGCATGAATAATACAAAGGTCGCAGATGTCACTCACCATTAATGATGGCATTGGGAGCAATGGTGTCGATAAGCAGCTTGTGGGCTCTGTCCAGATCACCAGCCTTGATGAGGTACCAGGCTTCTTCTTCGAACATATCCAGAGAACGAGCAAGAATAGCTTTAGATTCATTTATCCATTGCTCTGGTACTTTGAGAAGATTGATTATGAAAGACTCCCTTTCTTCATATGAATCAAGGTCTCCAAAATCTTGCACCACAGAGTCGTCTACGTCATCGATGACCTCATCTGCGTTCACATCCGCTGAAGGTGTGCGTGGAGCTCGTCGAGTGATGTCTGTGTCCATAGAAATTTCGTCGTCGCCGTCGACGAAGCCAACGTCGTCGTCCATGGCGGGATCAGGGTGGTCACGACCCACGACGTTGGTCATCTCCATGTCATACTGGCCAACGTTCGTTACATCTCTAGCACCAGCCTTGATGTTTTCAGACGCGTTTCGAGCAGCAAGCATTTTTTGGTGGAGTTTTGTGAAAGAGTCGTCTTCTTTCTCAATGCCTTCTACGATTTGTACGTGGCGGCTTAACAATGATTGAACTTCACTTGCACGACTGGAAAAAAGAGAAATAGCATGAAATAAGCAAATGAGAAACATCGATGAGTCAAACAAGTGATTGTAAAAGTGTAGTAGCCAAATTAGAATATTTATGTTCAATTACTAAGAACCATGAAGAAAATGCTTACCACTTCTCTTCCTTGAGAGACATGAGGACGAATACAGCCCAGTGCCAGAGCCCCACAGATTCTAAGTGAGCCGCCATGGCGAGATGCAGAGCATTGCCGACGATGGGATTCAAGCGGTCATAACCAAGTGAATGGATGAGGGCCATCAGTAACCAGCTGGCCGACACGTCAAGAGGATCAGGAGTGACGGCAGCAGGATTGAGGAGTTGGTCGAGTCGGTAGGCGGGATCAGCATAAAGCTTCAGCAAGTGATAGCAAACATCATAACACACGCGCGATGCCGAGTCCGGCAGAGTGTGTTCAGCAAGATAACGAGGCAGCGGTTCCTGGCAGTAACCAGCTGGCCGACACGTCAAGAGGATCAGGAGTGACGGCAGCAGGATTGAGGAGTTGGTCGAGTCGGTAGGCGGGATCAGCATAAAGCT